TGGCTGGGTTAGGCTATTAGAGGTTCTGAGGCCTTCTAGCCTCTCAGTAGAGGGTAGTGGGGTGTTGAGGTGGGGTGGGCCAGTAGTTTTGAAGTCTGATCGTTTCAGACTCTTCAGGGAGAGACATGAGGCATTAGTTCTTTTTTTAAAAAAATATTTTATTTATTATTTTATGAGTGTAGTGCCTGCATGTAGGTAAGTGTACCCAGGTCGTGCAATGCCCTTGGAGGACAGAAGAGGCTGTCAGATCCCCTGGAACTGGAGTTACGGACGCTTGTTAGCTGCCATGTGGGTGCTGGGATTCGAACCTAGGTCCTCTGCAAGAACAGTCAGTGTTCTTAACCACTGAGCCATCTCTCCAGCCCCTCAATGCATTAGTTCTAAAGTAGCGGGATACCATTATCTCTTCTCCGGGGACAAGGCTGGATTCCAGAAAGTGTAAGACTGAGCCTCAAAAAGTCCAGGCTAGGTTTTGCCCATCCCCCAAAGCAAGGTCTGGAATCTACCTGAGTTCTGGAGTGAGTGGCTTTTTGGGCTTCAGCTTCAGTGGCTTTTTGGCTTCTCTTTGGTTAGTTCTTCCTGGGCCTTACCTATAGGAAGGCAGGCCTCTGTGTGGACATGAATCCACCTGTGGAGAATTGTGAATCCTGGTGCATGTTGCTGTTGTGGTCCACAGGGCAGGGGCTGGCCGACAGGAGAGGCCAGTATAGTACAGAGCTGGCTTGGCTGTGTCGGGGCTGGGAATGTACAGTTTAGAAAACTGTGGGGCTACAGTTGTATTTCTGGGAGTGTATATAGAGGCCCATGCATACAAGTTCTGAACTATGTTCATTGTGTGGAGGGCCAGGTGTGTGGAGAGATGCTATCTCCAGGCTCCCTCTTCTCATGTGCTTGCCTGCACACACAGGCAGGGCCTGCAAGTGTGCTCTTGCCTACCCATATGTTTTCTGTAGACCTGCATGTGTGAGTTTCTCCAAGTCTGTGGGGTATGTGAGGATCCAAATGTAGATGCTATTGATGTTCAGTCAGCCCCTCCTTTTCTTGCTTTGCGCCTCCTGCTCAAGCTCCTGTTGTTTGGGGCCCAGCAGTGAAGGGGGAACAGGAGGCAGTTGGTTCCAGTAGGTGGGGCTCCTGTTTCTCTCTCATCAGTCTCTGGTCTGGGAAAGAATGGGCTTGGGGAAGAAAGGGAGCACCTCATTCAGGAGCAAGGAAAGGCCCTATGACTTATAATAACAGTAAAAATCATGGTCATTAATAGTGCAGATTTCACTCCGAAGGCAGCTGTTTCTCCCTAGCTACTGCCCACCCCCATCTTCCTCAGTCAACAGAGGGCACACACTGGCACAATTGACAGATGACATAGCACTCTTCCACAGTGACCCTGGCAAGAACTCCTCCATCTTGGTTGGTCCTCAGCCAAATGCTGGCTATGTACATGTACCGTGGTCTCCACGTTTAAACCTGGACCTTGGAACCTGGGACCTGGTATGTCCTGTTTGGAAAACAGGAATAGAGGGGGGAGGACATTGGAAAAAGACAGTTCTTATTTTGGATCTTTTTCCTTTTATTACTAGCTAACAAATGTCCGTAACTCCAGTCCAAGGGGATCCGACAGCCTCTTCTGACCTCCTAGGGCATCGCACAACACGGGTGCACTTACCTACATGCAGGCAATACACACATACACATAAAATAAAAAAAGACTAGTCTTAGAATTTATCTATAGTTCTGATTCAATCTCTTTAAAAAAAAAAGTTTTACTAAGGTATAATTCATCATAAAATTCACCCACTAGGGACTGGAGAGATGGCTTAGCAGTTAAGAGCACTGACTGCTCTTGCAGAGGACCCAGGTTCAATTCCCAGCACCCACACAGTGGCTAACAACTACCAGTAACTCCAGTTCTGGGGGAATCCGACACCTTCTTCTGATCTCCTCAGGCGTTGCATGACACAGGTGCACTTACACACCTGCAGGCAATACACTCATTCACATAAAATAAAAAAAAATAGGGGCTGGAGAGATGGCTCAGCAGTTAAGAGCACTGACTACTCTTGCAGAAGATCCAGTACCCACATGGCTACAGACCGTCCTTAACTCCAGTTCCAGGGGAATCCGAAGCCCTCATCTGACCTCCGTGGCATAGGTGCACTCACATACATGCAGGCAATACACTTGTACACATAAAAATAATAAATTAAGAGCCGGGCGTGGTGGCGCACACCTTTAATCCCAACATTCAGGAGGCAGAGGCAGGCGGATCTCTGAGTTCAAGGCCAGCCTGGTCTACATAGTGAGTTCCAGGACAGCTGGGGCTATAGGGAGACCCTGTCTCAAAAAGAAAAAAAAAAATAATAATAAAAAATAATTTTTATTTATTTATTTATTTATTTTTGGTCTTTTTGAGTGCTGGGATTAAAGGCATGTGCCACCACACCTGGCAATGAAATATTTCTTAAAAATTCACCCAGTAAGCTGGGTGTGGTGGCTCATGCCTGTAGTCCTAGCACTTGGGAGGCAGAGGCAGACGGATCTCTGTGAGTTCAAGGCCAGCCTGGTCTACATAGTGAGTTCTAGGACAGCTGGGGCTACATGGAGACCCGGCTTCAAAAAAACCAAAAAAAAAAAAAAAATTCACCCAGTAAGGTATACATTTCAAGTTCAGCATTCATGGTACATGTCTGTAATCTCAGTACTTTGGAGGTTAGGGCAGAAAGATTGCAAGTTCAAGACTAGCCTGGGAAACTTAGCCAGACCTTGTCTCAAACAACAAACCTCCAAAACCCAGAAAGGGTCTGTCTCAAGCTCCTGGTTAAGAGCACTGACTGTTCTTGCGGAGGCCCTAAGTTTGGTTCCCAGCACCCACATTGTGACTCAAAACCATCTGTAACTCCAGTTCCAGTTCCAGGGAATCTGACACCCTCTTCTGGCCTTTGTAGGCACCCACACTCACATGTATATACACACATAGGCATACATATGTGCATAATTTAAAAATAGTAAAAATAAACATTAAACCCAGAAACAGAATTTTGCAACCACTACCACCATCAGTTTAGAACATTTTTACCACCCCAAGAAACAGCCCCCTTCCCATCAGCAGTCACTTCCCATTTCCGTCAAATCTGCACCCCAGTTCCTAGTAACCACAAATACTACGTGTATAGATTTGCTTCTCCTGCACATTCTTAGAAATGGAAGCTTATGGGAGTCTTTGTAGCTCTCATATTGTTCTCAAGGTTTAGCCATGTTAGTTCATCAATCCCCCCTTTTTGGGGGGTACAAAAATATTCCAGTGTATTGGCTATCCAGTATTTTGTGGATTTGGGGTTGGTTCCACTTCTTTTTCTTCTTTTTCAAGACAAGGTCTCCCTATAGCCCCAACTATAGAATTCACTGTGAAGACCAGCCTGGCTTCTATCTCTCAGGGATCAGCCTGACTCTGCCTCCTGAGTGCTGAGATTAAAGGCGTGTACTCCCACTCCCAGCTGACTTTTGGTTCCACTTCTTCAGGTATCTGGAGCTCACTGATTCAGTTAGGCTGACTGGCCAGCAAGCCTCAGGATTCTCCTGTCTCTTTACCTCCCCAGCACTGGAATTACCGGCATGTAGCACTGTGCCTGTCTTTTACGTGGGTACCTGGCTTTTAATTTGGGTGCTGGGTGTCTAAACTCAGGTCCTCATGCTTGCTTAGCAAGCACTTTACCAATCGAGCCATCTCTTTAAATCCCCATTTTATGACTTTTTGGTCACAGCTATCCTAGTATGTGTATGAGTGTGTAGTTATTAGGGAGTATTCTTGATATTAGTACGCAACAGAGAGACGGAAGGAAGAAGATCTGGCAGAGTTCTATGTGGTTTTTAATTGGCTGTGATTGTTCTCATGTGCCCTTTTTTTTTTTTTTTTTTGGTCTTTTTGAGACAAGGTCTCCCTGTAGTCCCAGCTGTCCTGGAACTCACTTTGTAGACCGGCTGGCTTCGAACTCACAGAGATCCATCTGCCTCTGCCTCCTGAGTGCTGGGATTAAAAATTCAATACGTATGTACATATACCTGGACCTGTTTCTCAGATCTGTTCTGTTGCTGCCTGTCTAGCTGTGCAGTGGAATCTCTGGGTTAGAGCTGTTTCTATCCCATGGTGTTACCTGTGAATATCCTTTGGCCCCAGCTATTCAAATAGGGTGTGGCTCCGCTCCGTGTATACATTAGTGTTGGGGTGGGCATCTGGTCTTACATCTTCTGTCCACCTCCCACCACATCCCCTGTGTATTGGTTGCTTCTACAGACAGAAGTGTGGTGAAGTCTGAGCTCAGTCTTTCATTGCTGGGGGTGGGAGACTTCTACCCTGGGCAGGCCTGGACCTCCTTGGGCCATCCGTGCTGTTAAGTGTTACAGCTGATACCTATGAGACCTAGGGGTCCATTTCCCTATCTGAGTGTATGAAATTGGGCCTCCACCTCAGGCCTGCGGGACCAGCCCATCTGGGGTGCTGGGTCTTGGATTTAGGGGGGAAGTGGTGTAAGAGAGCGCCCCCCCCCCCCAAGCGAGTCATTTTTCTGAGAAGTGCCAGTGCTTTAGGGAAGCGGCTTCTTCCCCTCCCCCCACAGCACACATTCCCTATATACTGACCTCAGGTAACCCACACTGGGGGAAGGGGAGCCAACTGCCTGTCTCAGCCACAGTGATCTTTGGGGTGGCACTGTGGACCCTTTCCCCAAGCATTCTGGGTGAGAGGCCCTCCTGTGTTCTGGGCAAGAGGCCCTCCCGTGTTCTGGGCTCTGGACTCTGTCCTCATCTTCCCAGCCTGGCTGTGCTGTCCTGCCACCCCCAGCCTTGTCTGGGCCCTGTTCCCAGCCTGGCTCTGCCAGCCAGGCATGGTGCCAGGTGTCTGCTCAGCTGGGTGTCACAGGAAAATCTCCGGCCGCCCAGGTTGGGGAGCACCGTGGGGAATCCCATGTGCCTGCTGGGTGCCCACTTACCTGTCTTTCCTCTTTCTGCAGCACCACAGAACATGGCGTCCCCCAGCTGCCTGGCTGGAGCCCTTCTAGGAGTGGCATCCTTTTTGAGGCCCTGAAGACCAACTCTGGACCTTCCTATAAAAGTGTCAGCTCACAAAACTTCTTAACCAAAGGACCAACTCTTCAGACGTCTTCCAACCCACCTGGCCCCCAGCTAGGGAGGGGGCTCCAGAAGGTTAAGATTAGCTCACTATCTTTGGACAGCAGCTCCAGGACAAAAGGGGGTGGGGGTGGATTGACCACCCGAACCCCCTCTGGGCCCAGGCTCCATGCCCCGAGGAGAGGCAGCCTGAAGCCTGCCACAGCTGACTGCCAGACTGTCTGCTTGCTCTTCTGACTGTGGCCGCTTGGCATGGCCAGCAATAGCAGCTCCTGCCCAACACCTGGGGGCGGGCACCTCAATGGGTACCCGGTGCCCCCCTACGCCTTCTTCTTCCCCCCTATGCTGGGTGGACTCTCCCCACCAGGTGCTCTCACCTCTCTCCAGCACCAGCTTCCAGTTAGTGGATACAGCACACCTTCCCCAGCCAGTAAGTCTAGGTGTGGGGGAGGTTTGTTGGGAGGGAGTATGGAGAAGGAGCTGTCTGTTCTGCTGGGGGCACAGTGAGTAACAACGCCTTCTCTAGATGGAGAGGGACCCTCATGTGAGGGGGCCTTGAGGATGGTCCCAGTGCTGCTCACATTGGTGGTGTTTGATGTTGGGGGTGGCAAGAGGGAGAGATGAAACCATTGTGTTCCTGTCAGTTGCTTTTCTCCCTTGTCCCTTGTCCCTTGTCCCCCTAGTGCTATGCTATTGAGGGCCTTTTAAATAGCTCTGAGGAGGAATGGATGCAGAGGCAGAGGTGGATAAACAAACCTCTCCACATTTGGTGGAATGACAGCTCTACACAGTGAAAGTGAGCAGCACCCTACCTCTGTCCCACTCCCTTCCATGCTCAGAGGGGAAAGGCTTCAAGGAGGAGGAAGCCCAGGGCAGCCCAGCACAGCTGGAGCCCCTTGCTCTCCCCCTGCCAGCTCCACTTACCCCCCTTCCATGCCTCTCTGTGGGGAGAGGGAGGAGAGGAGGGACTCTGTAGGGGCTTTCTGCCTGGACTCTGGCCTTGGACACAATGCATGGGCTTGGCAGGGCCTGTGTTTTCTGCCTCCACCCTCTGCTATGAGTGGTCACGCGTTGCCTGGGCGGGGGTCTCAGCGCCCTTCCCTAGCTGGCCAAGCCAGGTAGTGGGAGGTGGCGGTGGCTATGGCCAGCTGGCAGAGTCCAGGCTTAGGGCCTGCCAGGCTGCTTACAGTAACTCTGGCCCCCAGGGCCCAGCTGGGCGCCAGGCCAGGACCTGGGAGGAGGGAGCTGGGCCTGGCCTGGGGTGGGAGGGGAGTAGAAGCAGCAGAACAGGCCATGGACAGACCGATGGCTGGCTGGTCAGCTGCTGACCTGGGTATAGTGTCCCACCTCTCCTGGTTAGCAGGGACCGAACACTCTGCCTGGCACCCACTGCCCCTCCCACAGCCCTTGGCAAGCTGCCTGGCACCACTGCCCTATGTGCCAGGCTGGGCTTGGTCAGTGCCCCCTTCTTGGTGTGGGGGCAGCACTCTCTCCCTGGAGCCAGGGAGTCTCTTTGTCCCTGGGGCAGGCTCTGGCGGGGTGCCCCACTGCCCGCACTGGCTGTCTGCCCACCACCACCACTGCTTCCTGGATCGTCTTCTCTGGCTTCGCCGCAGCCCCGTCCCTTCCAGGCCCCTCCAGCAGCCAAGAACAGATAGATACTTGATGGATGTCTGTGTTCCTTTAAGCTTCCTGTCCCTTCTGCTCTGGTGCAGCAGACAAGTGCTACCTCCCTTTTCCTGTTACTCCTCAAACCTCACCTTCTGTTTCTGCCATTCTTTCTCTCCATCTCACAAAAGAGGTGGAGTCTGGGAGCCCCCCTGTTCTGATTTTCTAGTCTGTGCTGGTGATGGGGGGAGGCCAGCCTTTGGGGCTCAGGGTTGCTGGGGCCTGGGCGGGTGCACCTGTGTAAAAATATTCCCTTGAAGGGAGCAAGAATTTGAATTTGTATTGTCACTGGTCCCTGGAACTAAGAGAGTTACCCTTTCTGCCAGGGTGGGATTTTTAGGAAGGAAAGGAGTTAGGGGTCCTCCAAGCTGGTACCCATCCATGGACAGCTTGTCCTTCCCCCAGGTGATGGGATTAAGGGACTGGACAGCTGGGCCTGGTCTGATCTAGGCTGAAAAGTGGGGTGGGGACCTGACCCTTATTGGAGACTGAGCGAATGCTCTGCCCTCCTCTGAGTGTTGCAAGCTCCTTCCTCTTTCTTAGAGGTGGGTGGGGAGAGCTCCCACCCTGGTAACCTTCTACTCCTAGGGTGGGGTGCCCACATTTCGGGCAAATGGTAGCCTTGTCTGACTTTCTCCACCCAGGTTAGGCAATGCCCTCTTCCTGCCCCCCCCAACCCTAACACCCCCCCC